GAATCAATGTCAAATGCTCAGACGAAGGTCAAGACTTGAGACGCATAGGACTAATAGACGCATACGAAGAATGCCATGAAAGCAAATAAGGAATCATGTCTCAAAGGACAACTCAAGCATTGTCTACGATCAAATGAAAGCTCTCAACATAATCGCGTGATTAAAGGAAGAGAAGAAGAAGAAGAAGAAGAAAAGCACGAAAAAAGTAAAAGCATGCATGTGTCAGAAAAAAGTACATTAATTTTTCAGAAAAGGACAACGCTCTATAGCTACGTGACCGAAAAAGGACAAAAAGGTTCCTAGGTCTTAGCTAAGGTCAGACACAACAACTAACAAACGAAGAAAACTACACAAAATGTCTATGAACAAGAAGTAACATTTAATGCAAGATCTTGAGCATTAAATGAAAGATCAAACTAGTAATGAACAACTATATCTACTTCAACAAACACTTGCAACAAGCAACTTCTACAAGACTATATATAGATCATCACTCCAAACCTGAAAATGTTAGCTTTGGCATTAACAAAAGAGTGATATCCAACCCACGAAGCAATGAAACCAGAGATAAAGCATATATCGTCAAATCTACCATAATGTATTCATCTTTGTAGACTAAGAAGTTCCAAGTGCAACTTAGGAACATGAACCTCAATGAGTGTAGAAATATATGTATCCTCTCTGTAAGAGTAACCCACACACTCAATCATTGTAAAACTAAGGTTGCATACCTTAGTGTGTAAACATTATTTGTATCCTCTCTGTGAGAGTAAGCCAAACACTCAAACCAAACAATTTAGCCATCATTTGTAAAGCCTGAAGAGGCTAGGCAAAGAATACTTGTAAAGCCTGGAGAGGCTTGTCAAAGAATACTTTTTAAGAGCCAGAAGTGGCTGATTAAATAATACTAGCGCTAATGGTGAAGTTAGCGGGCCAGGAGTTGGTCGACAATACTCATTGAGAGCCAGAAATGGCTAAACAAAGAATACTAGCTCTAATGGTGAAGTTAGCAGGCCAGGAGTTGGTCGATAATACTCATTGAGAGCTAGAAGTGGTTGAGCAAAGAATACTATGGTCGAGAAGTGAAGTTGACGAACCAGGAGTGGTTGAGAATACTTGGGACCAGGAGTGGTGATGGAGGATCATCCTTGGAACTTTAAGTGGGACCTATCACTAGGCCCATGGCTACGAGAATGGAAGAGAATAGGGGAGCTAACACCCCTAGAAACATGTTAAAGAACATTAATCTTTCTCCTAAGCTTTGTTGGCATAGACTTTATTTTTATTCCTATTTTACCCTTGTCTTTAATTTTCCCATTTTTACCATTGTATTTTGGGTATCTTAGGCATAGGATTTATTTTACTTATATTTCCTATTTTACATGGAGTAGTACAGGGATGGGTGACTTTCTACGAAGTTTCCCAGAAATTGCGCAAGTAAGGATAAAACACGCTAAACAGTGAAATATCGTGAAATAGAACCCTTAAGAGGCCAAATATGAGAATTGTTACATTAATAAATTTATTAAAATTTTAAAAAATATATAATTTTCGACAGATATTTCCGACGAAAATTTCTTACAGAAATTTCTGATAGAATTTTCTGTCAAAAATTTTTGATGAATTTTTTTTTCGACGCTACTTTTTCCGACGAATTTAAATCCATCGAAAATCTGTCGAAAAAAAAATCCGTCAAAAATTTACTTGTTTCCGTCAAAAATTTTCGTCGAAAATCAATATTTTTCTTGTAGTGTTTACCATGCTAGGTGCAAGGTCTCGGGGACCTTTGCCATAACAACATCAGGAGGTCAATAAGCTCAAAAAGGTTGAATTAAGAGCCTCAAACGGGTTGTTCCCAATCTAGAACATGCCGTTCAAAACCACAAAAAAGGCTTAGAAACCCTAGGTCAAAACGGGTTGTTCCCAATCCAGAATGAATCATTTTGACCCAGGTTGTTATGAGCAAAATAGTAGTTTGAAATGGGCCGTTTAGATTTTGAAACGGGCCTTTCCAATTTCAAAATTTTCCCATAACAAACCAATTTGGAATAACATGTTCCACTGATCAAAACGGCCATTCTAATTGGTTTTGACACCTATAAATAGGTGTCTTATGCACAGTGCAAAGGGACCAGATTTTTTCCGAAAAATCGACCAAAAATTCATAGAAAAGTTGTTATCTTTGACTTGTTTCTAGTAGTTCTAGTTCACAAATCTCTTCTCCGTCTATCTTTTGTATTTCTTGAGTATTGCGAGGATATTTATAGTATGAAAGGTTGCCAAAAAGCACCTGGACCCTACATTTGAAGAGGAATTTTATAAAGCTCACTTCGAAGGTATTACTATTAACTCTCTCTCTCTTTTCATTACTGTTTCATTCAAATACCATTGTCACAAACAATAAATCATCATGTATACATACTATTTTTAAACATATGAGGGTATAAAACCCTATTTTATAAGTAAGTGTAATTTAAAATAACATGTAAATAACCACTAAAAAAAGGAATAACATGTTTAAACTATATTCTTTATTATTTTAATTTCATCATAGGGAACCGATTAAGAGCGTTTTAAGGTGCCTAATACCTTCCCTACACGTTGTAATTAGAGGAAAATCTTCCTAATTAAAGAAAATATTTGTAGAATCTTCTATTTTATTTTCAACATATTTTTTTTCCTTATTTCCTTATTTTGGAAGATTAGATTTTTACAAATAGGTGTAACGAAAATGTAATATGTATGAATGATAATAATAAAATCATTCTCTTTTTCAAGTTGGTATCAGAGCTCTTGATCTTAGGAGCTCCGTTTTCGCTGCAACAATAGCCATCGCCACCGCTCTCTAGTCACTACGGCTGGCCATTGGGGTTGTTGATAGGGTAGAAAGGTGTGCCCAACTCCAGCGAACACAACGCTGGAAATCACTCCGGGAAAGACATTGCCACGCACCACCACCGTCGCTGGCACGTGTAGCCCACGCGCCTAGCTTCGGTGAGACCCACTCGTCGTCGTCATAGAAAGAGTCGCCGGAGCCTCTTGAGTTCGTTCCACAGGTCGGTACGTCCCATTTGGCCTAGATTCAAAAAGATATGAGTTTTGAGTTCTGCTCCTTTTTTTGGTGTAGCACACACGTCGTCGTCATCGCGGGCAGGGTCACTGGAGACACCTGATTGCGTTCCAAGGGATGTCTGAGGTAAAAAAAATTTCTTTGGGTCCTAATGATCTTCCAAATGTGGTGGTTCCCTATTGGTTGGACGGTTGGAATTTCTTACAATGGAGCCAATACATTCGAAGGATTCTCAAGGGACGTTCAAGACTAGACCACATAAATGGTGGAGGGCCAGGACCAAACGACTCTAATTTTCCAATTTGGGACAATGAAGATTCACTAATTATGACTTGGATGTGGCATTCTATGATTCCTGAGATAAGTCAAAATTATATGTTTTATTCTTCTGCCAAAGAGATATGGGATGATTTACAGAATACTTTTTCATTAAAAAAGGATTTTGCTACATGCTATGACATTGAAAGTATGATATTTAATACAAAACAGGGCTCTCTTTCCATATTAGAATATCACAGAATCTTGAATGGACTTTGGATTGAATTAGATCAGTACCAAACAATAAAGATGTGTAAAATAGATGTTGTCGCACATGTTAAGGCCGTGGAAAGAGGAAGAATCTTTAAATTTCTCCATGGTCTGAATCATGAGTACGATCCAATTAGGGTACAAATATTAGGAAGAGAAAAATTAGCATCCCTATCAGAAGTATTCTTTATGGTAAGAGGAGAAGAAACTCGGAGAGCTGTCATGCTTGATGGGGGGATCTCCAACACAGACTCTACCATGACAACTAGAAAGGGGGTCCACAAGGGAGTAAATGCCAGAGGAAAGTCATTTGTAAAAGGTAACCGTGGAGACTATTGTTCATACTGTAGAAGATCTAGACATACCAAGGAAACATGCTTCAAACTCCATGGAAGAAATAATGTTCTCGAGCGCATGGGAAATTACAAAGGGTCTGCTCAAAGATGGGCAAATCATACTACCTCAAAACAGGAAGCCACCAATCAATCTAGTACTTCACCACTACCAGATTTTGATATGAAAGCTTATAAGGAGGAACTCAAGCGCTTGAAAGCAATGGTTGAATCAATGAGTAAGCCCTCTAGATCATGTACTCTGTCCATGAAAGGTAAGATTTCTCTCAATATTGTTGGTCCTGTGTCTCAAGGTATTTGGATTCTCAATTCGCGAGCAACTGATCATATGACACTTTTTCGCGTGATCTTCAACTCATATTTTAAAAGGAATAGAGAACAACTTATTACAGTTGCGAATGGTAAGGGTATACCTATATGTGGCTCTGGGAATATAATTTTGGAATCATCTATTGTATTAAAGGATGTTTTACATGTTTCACAATTAGCCAATAGTCTTATCTTTGTGTAAAACCTCATAAAGGATTTAAATTGTTCAGTAACATTTTTCTCAACTTATTGTGTTTTTCAGGATCTTGCCATGGGGAAGACGATTTTAACTGCTAAGGAATAGAGTTGGTTGTATCTGTTGGAATCTAATGACCAAAGCAAAACAAAAATCATAAGTCAACAAGCTACATCTGAGACGTGGGCAAATTCTCAGATATGGCTACATTATAAAAGGCTTGGGCATCCTTCATTCAACCTTATCAAATCCTTATTTCCTCATTTTTTTTACTAGGGAGATTGTTGAGTTTTTAATTAGGGAGACTGTTGAGTTTTTTAATTGTGATATTTGTCAATTGTCAAAACACCATCATGCATCTTATCCTATTAGTAATAAAAAGAGTACTTTTCTATTTGATTTAATTCACTCTAACATTTGGGGACCTGTCGTAGAATCTATTTCTAGGGGTTCGAGTCCCGGGCAACCCACTATAATTAATATATCGAAGTTATATGTACATACTATAGCGATCTATATAAAATAAACTTTTTTAAATGAATGAAATGAGATAAAAAAAGGAAATTCGGAGAATTCTAAATGAATAAGAGCATACTATGGATATTGGTATTGGTTGACACCGGTATATAAGTCATGTTATACTGTTGAATAACAAGCCCTAAAATTATCTAATTATAGAGAATTTTTGTGCTTGGGAGTCCCTAATGATTAAATGAACCAAGATTTTACCATGACTGCAATTTTAGAGAGACGCGAGAGCGAAAGCCTATGGGGTCGCTTCTGTAACTGGATAACTAGCACCGAAAATCGTCTTTACATTGGATGGTTTGGTGTTTTGATGATTCCTACCTTATTGACCGCAACTTCTGTATTTATTATTGCTTTTATTGCTGCCCCTCCAGTAGATATTGATGGTATTCGTGAGCCTGTTTCTGGATCTCTACTTTATGGAAACAATATTATTTCTGGTGCCATTATTCCTACTTCTGCGGCTATAGGTTTGCATTTTTATCCTATATGGGAAGCGGCATCCGTTGATGAATGGTTATACAATGGCGGTCCTTATGAACTAATTGTTCTACACTTCTTACTTGGTGTAGCTTGCTATATGGGTCGTGAGTGGGACAAATGGTTCGTTACCTTTATTTATGATTGTACCCGTCTTACGTGGACATATCTTATGAAAAATAAATCAGAAATTTTCCAAATCTTTGTTAATTTTTTTCGTCTTGTCCAAAATCAATTTGGAAAAAATATCAAAAGTGATGGACCATGGGCCAAAGGCCGAATCACTAGAGCTATGACCAGGAACATTCAAGAAGGATTGGACAGCTTGAAGACCAGTTGGATTTCCAAGCCCAAGGTATTATTCATATGGTCCACCCTATCATGAAGAGAAGGCATGGCTTTGTTGTATATAAACTTGTACATAGTTTCTTTGTATAAACTTATTTTTACCTTTGTATTTGTGAGGCACTTTATTTCATTTTATTGATCATTGTATATTATTTTTAGGGTAGGTTACTTGGAGACTTTGACTCCATTTAACCTAATCTTAAAGAACACTCTTTTTCTATTTTTCAGTAGTATAAGTGGGGTGGCAATTAGCAAAGCTTGAGGGTGTGACTAGTAATTAGGCCAGAATTGGGCCTGGAAAATAATTTACATATTGGACTCATTTTGCTCCTAATTTTTCATAGATTTGATTTAGCTAGGTCTCATCATTTTTTGATGGACCTAACTAAACGAAATCAAACATTTTTGAAAACGAATTTGGTGAGCAAAATAGCCCAAGGCCACCTAGCTTGCTCTTGGTTCCTTTCTTGGACGAAATTGCTTCTTCCTTCTTCAAGCTTGAGAAGCTTGTTACAAGCTTCTCCTTAGCTTGCTTCCCAAGAAAGTTAAGTGAAAATCTTGCTCCACAAGCCTTTTAACTAGCTTGGACGGTCAAGCAACTAAACCATGGTTCACTTGAACCATGGTTAAAGTTAGCTTGCTCCCTAAGCTACCTCCTTTTATAAATTTGTAACTCTTACCTTTTCCCTCACTTTAGATGAATAATATTCAGAATTTCTCTCAAATTCTCTCTTCCAAAGCCTTAGAAAACTGTGGAGAACTCTCTCCTCTAGGTTCTTTCACAAAGGTTTCCAACCTTTGTGCCTTGGTGCCTCAATCTTCTAGCTTCTTAAAGAAGCTACCGAACCTCCTTGTTGCATCTTCCATCATTGAAGCGTCTTCCTCTCATCATTTTTCAGCCATTAAAGACCTCAAGAGAAAGTTTGGGACGTGAAGATGGAGAGTGAAGGAGAACAACAATCATCTTCTTCATCTACTTCCATCATTTTTAGTATCTAGAGCCTTGGTGCTCTTGAGGTTATGTGTCTCTTTCCTTTGAATGAATCTGTGTTGTTTCTTCCCACTTTTTATGTCAAACACTTGTTTGCTGAATGGATCTAGGTCTAATGCATATTTTGATGGATCCTATATGTCACATGAGAATTGATTGATTCACATTTTGCTTGTTCCATTACTCTTGAATCAATCTAGTTTTTCTACTTTAGGTTTCTTGTGCTTGTGCTTTTTATTTTTGATTGAGTCTTGCCTATTCCTTAACACGAGTCCGTGATTGGACATTGATATTGATTAGCATGATTTTTGTTTTTGAATCATATGTTTTGTCTAGAGTCATGTGTAGTTCTTTACATGTCATTGAATCTTAAACTAGCTTGTTGAACCTTAAATTTTTTTTGTGTTGTTCTTGTGTCTACATTGGTTCGGTTTTTGCTTTCTATTCTTGTGCTGACCTATATGTGCTTTTACTTTACACATTTGAGTTCTTAATTTGCTATTAGTCCTAGCAAATCCCTTAGAGTTAGGTTTCTTTGATGTCTCATTAAAAAGTTTGTCAATAAAATTTTTAAACACTTTTCTATTAGGTTTCCTTGCATTTTTGTTTGTGGCTAAAACTTGTATCACTTTTTAATTCCTCAAAACAGAGGCAAAGCAGATGTATTAGTGTTTAAAAGCATTGGAAAAACCAAAGAAAAGAGTGCTTGAAAATTGACCTAAAATTTGAACAAAAAGTGTGAGCACTAGAATACAAAATCACTAGTATACCTCTTGTTTTGTGCAATTTTTTTGATAGCAGTTTTAAACATTAAATCCAAGACATATACTTGCATTAAAAAGGCATTAAACACCTGTACAAAATAAAAAGAAAAAGTGCAAAAAAGCTACACAAAAAAAAGAATTGCAAAAGAAAGAGTACAAGGAAAAGCCAAGGAGTAGAAAATTTGCTTAAGATTGCTCTTAGTTTTGACATTTTGTTGCCTATCTTAAAAACTGTTCATCCATACATTGCTTGATTTTGAGTCTTATTTTGTTTTGTAATCTTAGATTTTGTTTTGTAATCTACTATAGTGCCATTGTTAGGTTTCCCTTTGTGTGCTAGCCTTTTTTTGGTGCCTTAATTTTTGTTTGTCTTTATTTGGAATTCTTTCTAGTCTTGTCTCATCTATTTCTACCATTTGGTTTAGCTTCTCCTAATTGTTCCTTTTCAGTTTTACCATATATATTCCAACAACTTAAGGTGTGTTGAGTGCTTCTTGAAGGTGTGGAAGGCCAAGTTACAAAGGAAGCCAAAATTGGAAGGTTTTGTGGTGGCCTAGGAAGCTTGTTTCTCCATTGGACGAAGGCTTTGGAAGTTTAAACACCTAGGAATAACCAACATCAAGGTTATTCCTAAGAGAGGAGTGAAACACTTGGAAAGTTGTTGCAGCTGAAAGGAACTTGAAGGAGCAAACAAATTTTGAGAAATTTTGTGAAAATTAGAGACTAGTTTAGAGACGGAAATTTTTTTGTCACAAAATTTTTCCTTGTTAAATCCGTCTCTAAATTTGTCACTAAATTAGTGGCTGAATTCTGTTTTCTAAAATTTGGTGCAGCTACTACATTTCATTTAGTGTGATTTTACATTTCATTTGGTGTGAATTTACATTTCATTTGGTGTAAATTTACATTTCATTTGGTGTAAATTTGCATTTCATTTCTTGTAAATTTTCATTTCATTTCTTATAAATTTTCATTTCATTTGTACAAGGCCTTTAGGAGTGTCTTGGAGTGTCTTTGGTGCATTTCCATCTCTCCTTAGTGTTTTCAAACTAGGTAATTCATGTAGTATAGAGTTATGGTTAACTATTGTGAGGGTTTCGTCACTCCGATTGTACTCTTGATGGCTTGGCCTCATGACCCACCATCTGTATTTTTTTTTGTCGACGAAGACCCAATCACGCTCACACCACTGAGAATTGTGAACTAAAGGCTTGTATTTGCTTTATTGATCGTTGTTGTTACTTATGAACTAAACTAAGAATTATATTGGTTTGTTATTACTTTATAACCCATTGTGGAAACCATGAACTAGCTGAGTAAACTTATTTAATTTTAAACATTACAATTATGAATGTTGATGACATTTTTTATAGCATGGAGGATGATTTATATACAATAGAAACTCTACCTAACTTTAAAAGAGAACCTATTATTGCTACTAGTGTTACTACTATTGGTAATAAAAGTAAGAGTAGGGTTATTAATGATCAAGACCAAGATACTGAAAAGGTTAAGAAAAGTAAGCCTAATACCTCTAAGGTATGAAATTATTATAAAAGATTGATCTAGTTGATGGGGTGGATAAATAAAAATGCAATGGTTGTGAAAAAAATTGTATACATGTAAAGCCATTTAAGATATTAATCGTTTAAGATGTCATATTATTAAATGTATTGGTCTCCTAAGTACCAAAATGTTAGGATCATGTTAGATAACAAAGCTAGTTTAACATATAGTATGAATTAATCATGTTATGATTTTTATTTTTATTATAAAAAATTATTTAATATTTTAAGATGTATTATTTTAATTAAGCTAATTTGGACTGATAACCTGGTGACCCAACATGAGTTAGATTAGACCCAAAAAATAACAACTTAAAAAGAATATAAGTCAAGTCAACCTAACTTATACTAATATTTGGAGTATAAGTCATGTTGATAAACATAGTGAATAAGGGTTTGAAATTCTATTGAAAAAAAATATTCACATTTTGTGTGATCATACTAATATCATCTTCAAAAGACAATAATTATAAAAAGAATATGATAAAATCCTGTGCTTTCTTATAGAATATGTGTTTAATTTTAGGTATTAGAGCAAACATGATATACCCATTATGATTTTTATTTGACTTTAGTTATGTGGCTTTCGGTATTGCTTAAACGACCTACTTGATTTTGATATAAACACAAACCAAATCAGTTTATGACATTGCACAGGCTACATATCAATTGCACCATCAGTCTTCAACATTGTTGGCAGGACTGCTAGAAGACATAATAAATTTGAATATACAACTATGTTAATGTTAAAAAGGCTTCTAACATGATTAGCAATTAATTAATTATCACGGTGTGAAATTTGCAGTTTTAATATTTAAAATTGAATTAAATATTTATGTATATCATGATTTATTTGTAAAGGTGACATTTTAAACTAGTTTTAAGACACCCTTTCGCGTCTTGTTGTCATCACCCTTGGCGTTTATTGGACCATCGAAAGCATTTTAGTAAAATGTTACTTTTGACAAACTTGCCAATAATGAAGACATATTGAAAATTCAATGCAATCATGTTTTACTGTGATATCCCTTTTACTTGTTCATATACTTCATGGGCACGTAGGATTCTGATTTTTTTTTCTCATACACTGTATTTTACCCTTTAAACTTTAAGCCATTTCAAAGTATTATTATTACAAAGTTTAAAATTGTCTCAATTAACTTTAAGATTTTAATTAATATTTTAATAAATCATTTTACTTTACGCATATAATTAATGTTTTACATGATACATAATCTTCTTTGTTAAATGTAGATAGACAACTTTGTTATTTAAAGTTTTACTTACATATTTTTAATTCATCATAAATAAAACAATTATACTCCTTCCCTTCGGACAAGGCTGGTGGGCTCGATTTTGATAAAGATTGATTATGTGTAGGGATGGTAAAAATACCCGCACTCGCGGGTTATCTGTGGATAAAATCTGCGACAGATAATAAATGGATAGGTTAATTGGGTACCCGCAGATAACGGGGACGGATAATTTTTTATCCGTTTATAAATGAGGCGAGGGCGGATATAATGATATCCATACCCGCAGGTACCCATTTAATAATATTTCTTAAATATCCTAATTATTCTTATACCACATAACCCTAAAACTAGGGGTGGCAAAACGGGCCAGCCCGCCCCGTTTTGGCCCGCCCCGCCAATGGCCCGCCAAAAACGGGCCGGGC